GCATCGCTACTAGCAACAAGTGCATTACTACTAGTAACAACAAGCTAGTAGTAACAAGGGCATCGCTACTAGTACCAGTTGTCGATGGGCGAACGAAAGTGAGTATTAGGGGGTGGGACCCAGAGCCTGGTGGGGGATTGCAAAGCAGCGAACATGTATGTTTTTTGGGGTGTTGTGATGCAAGTGATGTAATCGACGCCGAATTAGCATCATGAATGAAGGAAAGTGAGATGTACGTCTCCCAACGCTTTGCTTTCTTGTGGCTATGAGTGGAAGGGACTGCAAGAAACGATGTGACCCGTTGAGGACAGGAGAGGGAACAGAATGCAGTGGGCAAGCTTTGAACTGCTTGGGGGTGCCTTTTTTTAAGGTGAGCAGGCCTTTTAATCAGAGGCAGAAGGGCACCCCAGATGGGGTGGGAGTTCACGTGGAAGACAGGCATAGCGGGGGCGGACGTGATAGGGTGGGGAGCTAGCAAGAAGTGCGTCGCTCAGCGCTCTGTCTTCTCATGGGTAAGAGGAGTAGAGAGAACTGGTCGGCATACAGCAGGAAAAGTGAGAGGTGCGTCTCTCAATCATCACCTTGTCGTGGCCAATAAGAGTGGAAGGGAACGTCGGAAAGGACTGTATCCGTTTATCATACAGATATATACGTCTGCACATATATATTGCATACATACATACATACATACATACATACATACATACACTTTTTTAATTTCGAAAGCCAGTTGATAGCCTAGGCGATGGGTTCCCCACAGCAATCTTTGCTCGATGTTTGGCAATCGCGTGATCGTGATCTTTGCAGTAGACTTCCATCGATCCGCTCTTGGCGGCACGCCGAGTTTATGACTCCATCTACAAGACAAGCTGCAGGCAAGCGCCCCTCAGTTCCTTAGGAGTGCTCTTTTTCAGCTTAAAAATACGCTTGAACCGGGCAACCCCGCAAAAAAGTGTATTCTGCTTTCTTTTTCTACCACCAGTCGGCGTGGCTGCATTGTCGACATCACCCCATAAGAAAGGTACTTTTCGCATTTTTTTGCCCGATGTTAGACAATCACTTGATCTTGGCAGCAACATCGGTCCACTCTTGGCAGCACGCCGAGTCTTTGACCCACTCCCCGACCTGTCAATGAGAGCCCGTTATATCGGCCTTTTCTGCGACCCCGCATAACCATATTGATGTCTTCTTACTGAAGCTGGCTTTCGTCCCCTCCCTTCTCAAGTATATATATATATAAACATCATTCTGCATTAGACTTTCTTTACATGACCGTAAGGCCCGACCTTCGGGGTGGTGCTGTTTTGAATGTCCTCTCGGGGCTATTTGCTGAGGCCACATCTGTTTTGGTACAACACATTTGCTCAATGAAGATGTGTGTTTGTTTTATGAGAGAAGATTTGAACTTGAATTGAACACCGAATGCTGGACTTGTAAGTCCATGTCAAGCAAACAAAACAAATGTTGAGCGTGTCGGCTTTCCAGGGTGGCCTTCTCAACCCTCAAGGGCTAGGCAGTTGGCTGTTCCAGGTGGGCTTAGCTGTGCAGTTTTGCGACATCCGCTCTGAGTGCACGTAGCACTGGCAGGCTGTTTTCTCCAAGAACCCGCAGCAGGTTGGGTGTAGCCGCGGCTGCAGCATCCAAACACCGTTATGCACTAGACTCGCGTTTAAAGGGAGAAGGCGGGAAAATTGTAGGTTGCATTACATTGTTTAGAGTTGTTCGCTCTTCCAAAATATAACTTACCCCCTTTGTGCCTATGTGTTGCCATAGGTCTCAAAGTTTTCTGGCATTGGAAGGTTCTTGGAAACTTTTTGATTGGTGGGGTGGAGTCAAATGTACTTTCAAATCCCTCACTGTGGTGGATTCAGGAGTAAGTTGCAGTTGCGGGAATTGAATCATGATAGATATTCTGTAAGGCGCAGAGTGAAGGAAAATGCAAGTTCCTGACCAAAGCCCTGCTGCCCACACTTCCGGCAACTCAACCATCCACAGCCTACATTTTGCCAGCGCTCTATTTTCAAAGGCACCTCGGAGAGTTGCAGGCAACAAAGAATACCATAAATGCGTGTATGCCTGACTTTAACTTGTTGGTGTATCAAGTTTTGACTTTGCTCTTGAATTCTTGCATTACGGGCTTCGGCCCGGCTATGTGTCACACTGTGTTTATATGAGCGTTTTGGGCCAAGTGCTTTCATCGCCTCTTTTTCTGCCGCTTGGCAACTGCATTTGCCATTGTGAGGCAGGTCTTGAACGCCGCCCATCTCCGGTTCTCTTCCCTCCTCTTTGAAACCCGCTTGTTCGGACTCATGGACACAGAGGAAGCTACATAGGAAACAAAGTCATGTGTATTGTTTATTGTATTCATTTTACGTATTGTTTTATCATATTTTATATCCTTTCTACTTCCATTTTGGTGCTTTTGGTTTTTCCTTTGGTCTCTGCCAAAATGTGAGCCCCACCAATGAACCATCCTCCCCGCACAAGCATTTTTGAGCAGCATTGATTCCTGTCCTCTGCTATCCCATCAATGCAAGATTACGGGCGGGGCAGGGAAATGGGGGCTGCCTCTTGAACATGTCACGAAAGGTAGCCTGGTAAGGACTACCTTGAGTTTGCTTTGCGAAGCAAAGGGACTGGCTTGAGAGCTTGCTCGGGACTAAAGATTGGTAGATCAATGTCTAACACCCCCCCCCTCCCATGTGATGAATGATTGATAAATCAATTGATTCGACCCCCCCCCCTCCCCTCCACTCCCCTCCCCGTCCCCTCCCCTCGTCGCCAGCACTACTAAATTCTGGACATAAGGTGAAGTCATGCGCTTAACAGTCACAGCAGTACGACGCTGGCCATGAGGTTGCGCAATACAGCACGAACCCTGCGCAATGAGGTCGCGCAATGCAGCTTCGATGCCGCGCGTGCGCACCCGGCAGCCTGACACAGCGCGTACTGCGTTCACAGACCATATTGCTCGACACCAACGAGCATCGATGCAACACAGCCTCTCTGCAAAGCCCTGTGGAGAAACCCCTCGCGTCGCGGAACACCATTCGACTCAGCCTTATACCCTAGCGTGGCGAAATCTTACCGCATTGTGGAGCACACCCACCATAGCGTGACGTCCATCCCTGGCAGTACCGGCCGCACCCCTCCAGCACTATCCTTACAAGGGGGTTGGTCACTGAGTCACTGCGGCTTCGACGCAACGCGTGCAGGCCTGTAATCCTGACACAGTGCGTGCAGCTGTGGGACCATAGCTGGTACACATGCGAGCGTTTACGCATTGCGACTTTTACGCACGCCTGTTTTCACACACCTAGACACAAACGAGCGTCGACGCAACGCAGCCTCTCTGCAGAGCCGTGTGGCGCAATCTGACCGCAACGGAGTTCCTCTTGAGCCTTCTTATGCCTTCTTGTGCTCTCTGGCTTTGTTGGCTTCATCCATGATTGACCAAGGGGCACGTTCCTGAAACACCGGAGACAGGCCCTCACCAGAAAAGGTCCCGACAGCTACTCGGTCCGTCTCTACCTTTCGTGTTTCCCCGCTCAAGTATATAAGTCACAACTTCTAGGAAAATGTGGCTTACATTTCCAGGCTCCAATCGCTTTACTGTAAGGGTGTGCCTGAAAATGTATACTGGTCTTGCATTTTGGCGGAGGTTAGAGGCCCCTTCTCAATATGGTAGGTTATACTGAAATATCCGTGGAGAGAACCATGGCCTTCTTGGTGTGAAAACGATGTTACTTGGAGGTCCTCGAAGAGGCCCTAGAGCAGTGCATTTTGGAGATTGGTCGGAGCCTGAGCATATGGATGATGTTCTTTTTAACTGTGTGTGTCTCCGTGTGCCTCCAAATCGCATGGGTGACCGAGGTGACCCCCGCCTGGAGCGGATCACGGACATTTCCCCAGAACAGGCTAGCCAGCTTCTCCCCGTGTCTATGTTTTCATTCACAAAATCACAACAGTCTAGGAACACTGGCCAAATGAAGTTGAAGAAAGTTGTACCAGTCAGATACGTGTTAGCGGAGTCGAGTTTGCTACCTCCAGGTGAACCTTGCATTACGGCGAATGCTGCTAAAGGCTCTTTCTGTGTGGCTTTGCACCTTTGCGACACGAAGGAAGACTGAAGCCTCTTGGAGGCCCATTTTCGAAGTTGCAGCCCGCATTGCGGCGTGTTCCTCAGAGTAGACAACGGCGAAGCATTACTTACACGAGTCAAGATGCTAGTGGACAAATGGGCGAGGAAGCTCTCCAGCAATGATTGGTGTTGCAGATTCGTAGATTGCTCGTGCTGTCAGCTAATCGCAGGGACGCAACCTGGAAGCCAAGATGAGTGCACGAAGTTGCAGGCAGTGGATACGATTAAGCGAAGACATGTTTGACAGTGACGGTTGACCGGAAATCTGGAGCATGTGTGAAGGCTTGCTGCAGCATTAAACTCACAACATGAAGATGAAGGAAAGGTAACAGAGACACGCAAATGAGCTACAGTTAAATAATGGAAAGCACTGTAGTCGCAACTGGAGCTCTACACTTGCACAATTTGCCAATGGGGTTTCTCCTCACAAATTGGGGGAGATCATGACAGCGTCGATCTCAGAGAGCAAGTTCGACCCAGAGATGGCGTAATGTTCAAAGCAATTCTGTTGTTGCTGACAAGCTGACATCTCCGTTTGATCTGAGACATTGTGGCTCAAAAGAAATAGCACAGCCTTTTGCCCAAAAATATCTAAAGCACCAGGCCCAAGATTTCTTAGACCTCTCACCATTTCTTTTCAGAGGTCTACATATATATATAAAGTAGCCAAACGGAGAACGTTACCATGGTTGCATTCTGAAAGCGCAAGGAAGCAAAACGTTTGCATAGTAGGTTGGAGGCCATTGCTAGTAGGTTGGAGGGCATCGCTATTGGAAACAAAGATAAAAGAAAAGGAAGAACGGTCTAATTCAAACCTTGCTCACATTTCGTTTTTCTGTGACTTGCGCTACAGGAGAATATGCCAGCGGACCATTTCCAAGTGAAGCTTTCGGGCAACTGGAAGGACGTCCATACGTTTGCAGGTTGAACCGCTAAGTGTGAAATCAAACAGGCCTTTTGCAGATGTTTCCTGAGAGGACTACAAAGGGAATGAAGACAAGATCTTGAAGCGCGCATACCTTGCCGGTTTCCCTCATGCCAAGTACAAGCTCCGAGGCCAGTCCTATGAGGTTGACTTCAAGAGCATGACCCAGAAGAACATGCGCACGGGAAAATCTCGTGACATTCGTGCGCCCTACAAGTGGAAGCAGCCAGAGAAGCCCATCGTGGAAGCCGGCCCAACATTCTGCATCAAAGTGCCCCC